TCTGGGCCACGGCGTTGGCCAGGATCACAGCAATCATGACAGGCAGGATGTGCGAGATCTGCCCCGTCAGCTCAAAGACGATGACGGCCGTGGACAACGTATGGGTGACAGCACCCCAGCCCCTGCGGCCACCCCAGGACATATGGGGGTGGTTGTCAGGTGCTGCCTGCCAGGCTGTATCCCTGCCCTGGGTCCCCACCCCTAGGGCATCCACCACACTCTTGGGACCTCCCAGGGACATCCCCAGTGGTGGTATCACTCCCAGTTCCTGAAGCCACCACCACAGCCCTGGGGAACCCACCGGCTCCTTTGGAGGATCTCCGAATGATGCCCACCATGGTGTCCCTGTTCCAGTCTGATGCTTACCCACCACGGCGTAGCCTCCTGGCACAATGCGGTAGGTGTTGCTGTCCGTGTGGATGCCGTCAGGGAACCAGGCTGCCATGCTCTCCCCAACCAGGCGCCCAAAGGCTGCCCCTGCCCACAGAGAGGGGCTGGGAGTGGGCACAGGGCTCTCCTGGCACTCTCCCCTCTACTCTGCCTGGCACTGCCAGGGAAGGGGACACCTGGAGACACCCACAGGTGTGCAGTGTGGGCTGGTAGGCAGCTCCCTCCTCCCACCGTGCCCACGCAGGTTACAGGGTCTCACCAATGACGAAGACGGGCATGAAGGCTCCACAGGGCACTGGGATGGTGGTGGCCAGGGCTGACATCCAGAACTGGGTGGGGGGATGCAGACACCCATGACCCAGCCCTGCCTCCTGCCCTGGCTGTGACCTGCAGCTGGGTGCTGTGGAGCAAGACATGGGCACCACACCCTGCCATGGGGCACAGGCTCCTCCCAGGGGCACTCTGCCAGCTCCTCCCTGGTGGCACCTTGGTGGCTTTCAGCCAAGATCTTTTGATGCCATGTTGGCAGCGCCCAGCCAAGGCCTTGGTGGCCTCTGGGAGCAGCCACCCAGTGCTTTGTGGTGCCACCTTGCTGGCAACCATCCAGCACCTCCATGCTGGCATCCAGAAGCTCCTTTCCATAACCTCCTGGTGGTACCCTGGGGCTGACAGGGGCAGGAGGCACTCACCTTCATGAGGATGAAGACAACAAGGGTGACGAAGACGTTGGAGCGAGGATGGCGCCAGGCTTCCAGGATGCCCAAATATTCAAACTCATCATTGAGTCCCTGCTTGGCCCATGTCTGGTTGTCGAAGAGTGTCACCAGGGTGTCCTTCTGGGTGAGCTGGTGATGGGCAGGGGTCAGCCGGGGCTGGTGGTGGCCCTGGGGTGGGGACCGGTGTGTCACCCCACAGTGGGTACCTGGCCAGCCATGAACTGTCCAAAGCCGGGCGGGAAGGTCAGCGTGGAGATGATCAGCGTCACCAGGGCAGGGAAGAGCAGGCGCCTGGTGGGGTGGCACAGGGCAAGGGGTGACTTTGGTGCAGCCCCAGCTCCAAGCCCCACAGCTGGGGACTTCCAGGCACCTACTTCTTCATGAGGAAGCGGTTGATGGTCTTCTGGCGGCGCATGAACTGTACGATCTTGCGGTTAAGGTAGACAAAGAGCGCGCCTCCGAAGCCACTGGCAATCCTGGGCAGAGCCAAGGGGTGAGCACCTGTGTGTCCTGCTGCCACCACCAGCGCTGCCACTGCTATCCCCAGGGCCATGGGATGGGCGCTGGGATGGCTGCACTCACCCAATGACGGCGAAGGCAGGCAGCTCCTGCAGGTCGAAGGGGAAGTCGAGGCGGAAGCGAGTTTTGAACAGTGCCGTGATTGTCTCTGGGGGATGGTGGGGATCAGCAGGGCTGGACAGGGGACCCCTGTGTGCCCCCACCCTGCCAGAGGTACCTTCATCCTTGTTCCAAACGGCGAGGACACGGAAGATGAAGGCGCTGAAGGTGGCAGCAAAGAAGCCACGCCAGTAGTTGCGGACAGCAAAGAAGGTGGAGGTGACCTCAATGCTGAAGAGGACGCCTGGCATTTGGAGGGGGAAGCACACAAGGGAGGTGGCAAAACCCAGGCAGGCCCCCAGTGCCTGGCATGCTTCCCACCCCAAGCCCATGCTTGTGCACAGCCCATGGAGGTCTGAGTGCCCTACATGGATATATCATGAGGCAGTTCAAAGGCTTCCCTGGCAAAGCACATGGCTGGTCCTGGCTGGCCACAGTGGACATGGCACAGCAGTAGTCTGCACAAGCGAGAGGGGAGCACAGGGATGTGAGCAGCAACAGGAGGGGTGGCTCTTGGGTAGGGTGGGGTGCACACAGATGGGCAGACAGACAGATGGGGTAGTACAGCAGGCAAAAGGCAAGGAAAGAGTCATACACATCAGCAACCTACAGGCAGGGCTCAGCGGGGTTGGAATGGGCAGCACACAGATGGACAGACAGACAGATGGGGCAGTACAGCAGGCAAAGGGCAAGGAAAGAGTCAGACACATCACCAACCTACGGGCAGGGCTCAGCAGAGCTGGAGTGGGGAGCTCCCTGGAGCGCAGTGTGGTAGGGGAGAGCATAAGAGCAGACGTTACACCAGGAGGATGGTGCCCGCTCTGCCCTTCCTCCTCCCCACTGATTGGCACTGCCCATTTCCATGCCAGCTATCCTGGGGGTCCTGCTTGCCTCGCCAGGTGGACCCTGGTGCATGGGTGGGAGGTGTGGAGGGGTATTGGGGGGGGGGGCTGAGGTGACCCTACCTCCAATGGGGGCAGCGAAACAGCAGCCAACACCGACGGCGCAGGCAGCTGCCAGCATTTCAATGTTCCTTGCCTCATTCTGTGGGGGAGACAAGGGTGAGTTGCCACTGCCCCCTCCCAACCCCAGGCACTGTCAAACCTGCTGGGGAGCATAAGTGAAGCCCCCCTGGGGCCAGCCTGCCTTGCTCACCTCATAGATGCCCCCAAAGAGGGAGAGGAAGCGGCTGAGCAGAGCTGCGCACATGCTGGCGATGTGGACGAAGGGACCCTGTGAGGAGAGTAGGGCAACTGAAGAAGGTTCCCTCACTCCCCTGGTCCCCTGCCCACCCTGTCCCAAGTATTGCCCTCACCTCCTTGCCCAGGGGCATGCCGCTGCCCAGGGCACACGTCAGTCCGATCACCTTGGCCACAAAGGTCTTGAAGGTGAGGTACTCCTTCAGCACAACGCCCCTCAGGATGGTCTTCATCTCGGGGATCCCTGAGCCTGGCACCATGGACACAGTCTTGACTCACAGCCATGAAGGGGGAACACTGGGGAATCCCTGCCCCAAGGGCAATCCTTGATACTCTGCCATACATCCCTGCCACAGTGAGAGCTCAGAGACCCCTCTCCCCACAGAACAATAGGCATGAACAGCCTCATGGCCATGTAAGGACAGCTCACCCCATAGTTCTATGGGGACCCCAATCCCATGGCCTCCAGCAGACACTCTGAAGACCAGTCTCTAGCCCTAGAAAGACCCTCAGGACTCCCAACCTTATAGCCCAGGAGGTCATCCACCCCATGGCTCACAGGAGACACTCTGAAGACTAGCCCATAGTAATTGAAAGACTCCCCAGAAGGACACCCAGGCAGCTCCCAAGGCACAGTCCCAGAGAGTGGACACCCTGTTGGGGTGCAGGCAGCCCCTCCAATGCCCTACCCACGGCCTGGGGGGCGAGGATCTGAGTGAAGCCAGCTGAGAAGGTGATGAGCACAGTGGGGTAGGTGACCCAGGCCAGGTACTGCAGCAGCACGTTGGTGTCCAGGCCTCCATACATCCACTTCTGAGCTGTGGGCACAGCCGGACAGGTGGGTTGTGGGTGGACATGGCATGGCCACCCCTGCTCCGCCACGGCCCCAGGAGCCCACCAGTGCCCGTTTACCTTGGAGACAGGTGGCGATAGCGAAGTCCATGGCCCAGCTGACCAGTGCCATGACCAGCCCCAGCAGGATGAGGAAAACCCAGTCCTCGCCCACCTTGGAGATGAGGAACCGCTGACACTGCAAGGCGCAGACTGCGGGCACAAGGGCAGACTCAGAGCTGGGTGCCTTGGGGATGGGCACACCGGGCCAGCGGGGCCAGGCTGGCAGCTCACAACAGGCGGCACCAACCCA